TGTTTGTGTGGGTAAGAAAAGGATGGTACATCTGCTTCAAAAACTTTTTTTTTAGTAAAAAGAAATTATTATTGGTGCCAGTATATATATTTTTGTATAAATAGCATCTTTGGAGGAAAAGGAAGCACATCTACCAGGGCTGCACAAATTATTCAGCAAGACTATTGAGGCAAGATCCTGTCTGAATTCACTCTCTAAAGCTGTGAAACTATTACTTGAAGACTTGACTGAGATTTTCTGGGCACACACGCTCATATTCGGAAGATACATCTGCCCCCATATTTACCTCAGAGGATAGTGACATTAGCAATAGCAATAGCACTTATATACCGCTTCATAGTGCTTTACAGCCTTCACTAAGTAGTTTACAAAGTCAGCATATTGCCTCCAACAATCTGGGTCCTCATTTTACCGACCTTGGAAGGATGGAAGGCTGAGTCAACCTTGAGCTGGTGAGAATAAGTTCCTGAAAATGAGCTGACTTAGCCTGCAATACTGCATTCTAACCACTATGCCACCAGAGGCTTATTAGAGGAAAAAGCTTTAATATATCTTCAGAGCTTTACTTTACTCCTGCTTGAACGGCGGGTTGGATTAGAAGATATCCAAAGTCCCCTCCAACCCTATTATTCTGTGTTATTTTTCTTTAATTTATATGAGCAGTCTTGCAATGTTGATGCATATGCAAAAGGGGCATGGTTTCAATCCTAATACTGTAACCATTATCTTGATTCTTTTTAGCCACTAACCCTAGGGCTGCTACTGCTACCACCAACCTGTAGTGCCAGGAGGGAGGGAGGGAGGGAGGGAGGGAGGGAGGGAGGAAGGAAGGAAGGAAGGAAGGAAGGAAGGAAGGAAGGAAGGAAGGAAGGAAGGAAGGAAGGAAGGAAGGAAGGAAGGAAGGAAGGAAGGAAGCCTTATCTCTTCACTAGAATGATCTACCTGCAATAGAACTGGCACTTTTTTCCCTCATCACCAGTCGACTGGTGGGATAAAAGAAATTATATCATACCACCTGAAGTTATAAGTATGAATAAAGAACAACACATTTAAGTGAAATATTCAGCTTAGGTTGCCAGAATTTAATGAAAGAAAGCATAACACAGCATGTATGTAATGCACCAAAGCCTTGCAAAATTATATTTTCAAATGAAACATAATGGAAAATGTATTATAAACATAAGGTAATTATTTTAATACTGCTGAAATAATTTAACTTATATTTACATTTGACCTGATGTTAGTAAGTGCTTTGTTTCGGTATTACTCACTTATTGGAGCAAGATCATAAGCACATAATCAAAGGCCAGGGTTGCCAATGGCTCTAAAAATTATACATGGCTGAGTTAATATTTTATGAATTATGAAATACTGCAGAAATCAACATATATGAAGAACACTGTCATGGTCAGGGCTGATTATTACTGTCAGAATCTTGCAGTCAAGTAACAGGAAGAGCACATAGTAGTGAATTAACAGCTTGAGAGCACAAGCCAGGAGATCATATCAATAAAGTAGGAGAAAAGTAGATACCACAATAGTAAAACAGGATGTAAGAAAAACAGGACTTAAGTTTTAAATCAGAATTCTCAAGAGCAAAAAGTTGCAATTGTTGAATTTCAGTAACCAGACATTTTCTGAAGTAGTTTAACTATTAGTTCTCTTGCCTCTTGTCTGTTCCAAGTCTTTCTCTATTTCTAATTACTTCAGGAAGTCTAATTCTTCCTCTTCTGCCTACTCTCCAAGTTGCATCCTCATTGGCCAACTCTGCTGTCAATACAGATAGTCCTCAATTTATAACAGTTCATTTAGTGACCCTTCAAAATTACAACAACGCTGAAAAAAGTGACATGACTGGTTTTCACACTTATGATGTTGCAGCATCCTCATGGTCACGTGATCAAAATTCAGATGCTTGGCAAATGGTTTATTACAGTTGCAGTGTCCCAAGGTCATATGACCACCTTGTCAAGGATGAAACTTTGGCAGCTACACGCCTCTGAATTTCAACTTGCCTTTAAAGTAAGGGGGGAAGGTGTTACTTTCAAGCGGGTTAGATGGAGAAATGAAACTTCTAAGATTCCGCTGAAAACTGTGAGAGCCTGGAAGCTTTTCAAGTATACCGTAACAGATGTGGATTTGAAGCAGACAGTTCCCATAACAAAGTGAATTTGTTATATGGACTATGTAAGATGTTGTGGGTTTGGTTGGGAAAATTATTATTTATGTCTATAAATTGGTGTCGGAACCTCAGAATTAGTTTTGCTTTGACATTACCTTGCAGCGTATTCAATAAACAGTAAGATTTTCAGAGACGGAATAAACCTGGAGTTTTATCTGGATTCTCAAGTTGGATGTTGACTCACCTTTTGTGAGCTTCTGACAAACAAAGTCAATGGGGAAGCCATACTAACTTAACAATCATGTTATTAACAATTGCAGTGATTCATTTAACAAGAAAGGTCGTAAAATAGAGCAAAACTCACTTAAATGTCTCACTTAGCATTGGAAATTGTGGAATCAATTGTGGTCATAATTTGAGGACTATCTGCAAACATATATCTCTGCTGTCATAGATCTAGAGTCTGTTCCACTTTTTTTCAGCTCCAGGTATTATAAGCAAGGCTTTTTTTGTCACAGAACGCCCAGAACAGAGTTCTGGCACCTTTTTTGGATGCAACCTTGTAGGGTAGGCAAGGTGGGTTGTATGACGTGTGTGAGTTCCGGCACCTTTTGTTTTCACAAAAAAAGCACTGATTATAAGCCACCTGGCATGTTCATAACTCTGGTTAATCTTGGATTAGACAGAAATGTTTCTTGAGCTCCCTCCTCTGATTCAACTTCATTTTCGTCAAAGTTAAAAGCTTCATGGCCATACATAGCTACAGTGGAAATAGTGATATTTCTGAATCACCTTCTTCTCAGATTGGTCTAAATCAAACTGGTTCATATTAAAACGCTAGCAGATTAGTTTTTTTATGATAAAAATGTAATAAATCATCATATATGTCCCTTGCTGAATTTCTCACAACAAGAATATTTTGTATTAAATTTGCAGTTTCCAAGGGAATGGGAGCACTATTATTCCATGCCGCTCTCAGTATTAAATCAGCATTTTTATTTAACATTCACCTTGAATTGCAAGCAATTGGAAAGCAAATTAATGTCATGAATGTCATTATCATTCTTCTCTGAAAAATGTTATACCGAAGCTCTTTCAATACTGTATTCATCACTTTTGAAAACCTCTAAAGTACAGCAAAGATGACCATCTGTTTCTAATTAAGCAACCAAAAAATACATTTAGATGGATACTAAATACATAAGATATGTTAGCTTGTTTATAATTCCAGGTGTAAGTCTAAATCTCCTTTAGTAAGCATGTTTTATTTTTCAAAATGGTAAATATTCCTTTTATAGAAAAATAAACTTTAAATATAAACTGATCTGGTTTAAGAAACAAATGAAATGAAGGGTGCCTGTAAAAGCAGAATGTCAATGAATCTAAATGAATTTTTCAAGTGTATTTCTTACATACAGTATGTTACAAATGTGTAAAATGGAAATGGGTTTATATACATCTGAAGAACTTACAAGAGACAGACATTTTATCTATTGTATCCAAAATCTGGTAAACCCAAAGCCCTTAAATCAAGGGTATATTGTACAGTCCATACATATATCCAAACAAATACTACGACTTAGCTTTCAAAAGATGAATCAGTACAAGGGATAATTGTTAGGACTGAAGTCTTCCTGAAAAATCATCTAAACCTGATTGAATACAATGGAATTTATCTCTTACTAAATTATAGATAGGATTGTGCTGCAAGTAATCCTAAGTATTTGTTGTATAAAAATATATATGAGCAAAAAAAAAATGTTTTCAAACGGTTGTAAAACTATAATTCATTATTCAACCAATCTTATTTTCAGTAGGCATTTTATTTGTTCTGGTAATTCCTTCTACTAGAAGGATTGAAGCAAGTAAGACAGCAACACTCTTCAGAAGGGAAAAACTGCTATGTCAAAACAGATCAGGTACTCCTGAAGACCAACAGAGGAATGCAAAATATCTATTGACCTGGAAAAACAGGAGGAAGAGGCTTAAAATATGAATCCTGGAATACAGACTTTTATATAGCTTTTATCTTTTGTGTATGCCAGGGGTCCTCAATCCCCGGGCCATGGCCTATTTGCAATAGGGCTACATGAGTGGCAGGCCAGCATGCATATACACAAAGCTCAACTTGCACGAGCAGTGGGCTGGCACACATGAACAAGTCTCTGGTCTTGTACGCAAGTCGAGCTGTGTGTACATGCACGCGTGTACTGGCTCACCACTCACACGGCCTAGTTCCCCTCTCCCCCACCAGGCCACCAACCTATAAAGATTGGGGACTGCTGGTATATACCATATTATGTCAATATTTTGTGTGTACGAATGACTTTCTTTTTATCTACAATATAAAAAGAGAATAATTCTAAATGCATCATGTCTGTGTGCCTTTTGCTGAGAAGCTAGATATACAAGGTCATCTGGAGAGATTCTGCCACATCTGTGCAAAGCCTGTTAATTGGTTAACAAATAATAAAACAAAATATATTAACATCTTATATGGTTTTCCACCTCAAATCAGAATGCACTTTTACTTGGGCAAGTTAAAAGCCCACAATTTCTAACCAAAACTATGAGCCAACGTAAGAAATTATTCTCCTGAACAGTTTTCTGAGGAAAAATAAAAGTATCTGTGATCACATCCCGAAAGTAAGGAATTTGATTCTGCACAGTGACAGATAATATATGTTTAGCTTCAACCTGAGAAAACTCTAATGTATTCGATTTCCTTAGGTTGCCCACCCAAAATTGTAGAGTGCTTCAGTTTGGGGAAAGAAGAGATAAATATTGCTTCAGATTAAAAAAAGATTTAGTCCTATATACCCCTGTACTATAATCCATGAAATGATGCTACAAAAAGAATAGCTGAAACACAACTTACCTGTTCATAAAGATTCTTTATTGGTTTCCACTGTTTACCACTCAAAAGATAAGGGATGGTTATGTGGTAGTGTTCTAGTTGTTCTCTTTGAATCCATTGCCTAGGGAATTCCAGTTTACTTTCAGCAGTTTCTCCTAGTATAATTTAAAAAAAAAAATAAACGTTAATGAAGAACTGGCATCAGTAGTACAGCAATTTAAACTATTGCTAAGTAAATCAGAAAGTATAACATAAACCAATACACAAAAGTGATTAAAATACATATCAGAATAAGCTTTTAGATGTCTTACATTGTGTTATGTTTTATATATTTTGGTTGAAAGTTGCAGTGATTCCACTTTGAAAGCACAAATAGGGCGAACATATGGGGAAAAGGGTAGTGATTCACTTGTGATAGAACAACAAAGCAACAGATCCTCTTTTTTGTTATTCTTCTGATCCATTGACTTCTTACATTATGTTTTTGGACACAATTTTGGAAGATTACTGTATTTGATAGAGATTACTTTTAAGTGGCTTACTATTTGAAAGAGTCTCCAATCCAAGTCCAACTTAACAATGAAGAAGCATTCAGAAGGAAGAGCATAGGTACTGATATAATCCATAATGTCCAACATATGACAATATTTTTTTCTCCCACATTACTGCAATTGAAATAGCCAGGTTTGAACTTAAAAATTTTTCTATTTAATTTGTGTAAGCTGAACTCAATTCTTTAGAAAGTGAAAATTTTGTTTAAAATATCTCAGAACTTGAAATAATTCTTAAAATATTCACAGCGGTTAAGAGTTGAAGACACTGTGTAGTAGTACTTTTGCTCCTCCTTCGTGGGGCAATTTGTCAGTTGTTGTTGTTAGTTGCAAAGTCGTGTCTGACCCATCGCGAACCCATGGACAACATTCCTCCAGGCCTTCCTGTCCTCTACCATCTTCTGGAGTCCATTTAAGCTCACGCCTACTGCTTCAGTGACTCCATCCAGCCACCTCATTCTCTGTCGTCCCATTCTTCTATTATCCTCAATCTTTCCCAGCATTAGGCTCTTCTCCAGTGAGTCCTTTCTTCTCTTTGGTGGCCAACTAATGAGTTTCAACTTCAGGATCTGGCCTTCTAAAGAGCAGTCAGGGTTGATCTCCTCTAGGACTGACCGGTTTGATCGCCTTGCAGTCCAGGGGACTTGCAGGAGTCTTCTCCAGCACCATAGTTCAAAGGCCTCAAATCTTTGGCGCTCAGCCTTATGGTCCAACTTTCACAGCCATACATTGCAACTGGGAAAACCATGGCCTCGACTATACATACTTTTGTTGGCAGGGTGATGTCTCTGCTTTTTCATATGCTGTCTAGATTTGCCATAGCTTTCCTCCCCAGAAGCGTCTTTTTATTTCATGGCTGCAGTCCCCATCTGCGGTGATCTTGGAGTCCAGGAAGATAAAATCTGTCACTACCTCCATTTCTTCCCCATCTATTTGCCAGGAATTGAGAGGGCCGGAGGCCATGATCTAGGTTTTCTTAATGTTGAGTTTCAAGCCAACTTTTGCACTCTCCTTCTTCACCCGCATCAAGAGGCTCTTTAGTTCCTCTTCACTTTCTACCATTAGAGTGGTATCATCTGCATATCTTAGGTTGTTGATATTTCACCCGGCAATTTCTCCTGGCAATTTGTCAGTGGCTAAGGGCAAAAAGAGATTAGCCAGCCATCCCTCTTTTTTTGGGGGGGGCTGCACAATTCTGTTCTCCAATATCTACATTAAGCTTCTTGGAAAAGTCATCCGTTCAGTTTGAGGTTTAGTATCAGTATGTTGATGATATCCAATTATACACTGCTAACCTGGGTCACATAGGAGAGGGTGTAAATGAATGAAATAAGCTGAAATTGAACTTAGCTAAAGCTAAATGAAGTTATTGTTTGTCTATCAGAACTTCCTGATATCACCACTTATGTTTCTTGATGGGATGTCACTGCCTTGAAGGAGCAAGCTTGTGACTTGTAGTCCTTCTAGATTCAGAACTACTGCTAGATGGACAAGTGGAGGATATGACCACTGAATCTTTTGCCAGTTTCATCTGGTGTACCAATTGCAAACTTAATGGAAGAGGAGGATGTCATAACTCATGCTGTCATCACCACTCATCTGGATTAATGAAATTCAATCAGCACTTGGGATTGCCTTAGAGGCAATCAAGAATCTTCAATTACTCCAGAATGCAGCAGGCCAAATGTTGGCAGATACTCACTTACACACTGGGCAATAATGTCACATCTATGCCCTGAGCATAGCAGAGACAGCAAAATTAACCTATTTGATTAGGGAAAGATGAATTTATCATTTACAGGAAAGTCTTACAAACCTTTTGTTGAAAATAAGGGAAAAATGTGATTTGGGGGTTTGAAGATTAGAAAGGGTAGCTTATGGAAGATTAGAAAGGGTAGAAGAAGGAAATTATGATGTAACTTTAGAAAGAGGAGGGAACACAGAAATGAGGAGGGAACACAGTGTGAAGAAGATCAGAGATCACTTTATCATTTTTTGGTTTCTTTTTCTTTCTTTTTCTTTTCTACTTTCTTTTTCACTATTTACCATTTTTCTTTGTTATACTTAATTTCTTTTATGCTTTTTACCTCATTAAAAATTTCTTCAATAAAATTATTTTTTTAAAAAGAGAATTCTTTGCCCTCTGAAATTCAATCAGCATGTATTAGATTTTAGAAAATTATTTAAAGCATAATTAAGGAGACTTTTGATTTTTAAATAACACCATCTTTTTTTCTTTTTGGTTGTTTCTATGATATTTACTTAAGTTTTCCCTTTCTTATGGCATTTTATAATTGCTTATAGTGTTATACCATGTATGTTTTAGTGGCATGATTGTATTCCCTTGATAATCACTTAATTAAAATAGGTAAAGCAAATAAAAATAAATGTAAAAGTTTTATCATGTTTCATAGTCGCTCATTTAAAAGAATGTGTAGAGTATGTAAAAATGATAATGGGCTCCCAAGAAAGTACCATTTCTATGAATCAATCCCTCAAATACAGAGACACAAATATATACACACAAACATATGGCAGAAATACTACTTCCGGCCTGATCTTGCTTAGCTTTTAAAGATCAGCCAGCAAAGATACTGATTCATTCAAATGGGCATAAGCTCTGTAAGTACTCAGGTTTATTGGCCAGATTCTAAGAAAAGACTACTGTCTCAGATAAAGATCTATCCAGCCCAGCATTGTGTTGCCATGGTGACCAAACACATGCCTATGGTAAACCGATAAGCACCTTCCTGCTCATTTTTACCAACAACTGCCATTAGGAAACATAATGCCTTGAATAGAGAAGCTAATGTATAGCCACCACTGTTACAAATTAATATTCCCTAGGGGGCCCATGAGAGCTTCAAGCAACTGTGAACTGTTTGTGTATAAATCTCAAGCATCAAAATAGTCCTACATGTGGTGAGTATATGCAATTCATTACTTTTTAGAAGTACACAAACATCCACCACCAACTTCTACCCCATCAGTTTATAAAGAATTCCATTACATCAATTGTTTAGTTGAGTCACTAAAGGATGACATTTGCTTGTGCATTATTAATTCAGCAATGAAGATCTGCCCAAATCATATGTCAGCTATTCTTAGGATAGAAAAGTGCCTTGCACTGTAATTAAGGCAGATTCTTTGTTGTCAGGCAATAAATTAGATTTTACTTGCACAAGAATCAATTTTTTATTTGTAAATCATAACGTTAGGTTTCCTGTAGAAAACTTAACCTATAAGCCAGACAGAAAACATTTTCAGAAAAAGTTAATTAAACTGAAAACCAAATTTCCCAAAAAACATACAAATTAAATAAATTATAACAGTAGTTTTTAACATAACCTAGAAATATATCTGAAAACAGAAGTTGACAGGATATATGAGAACAATGATATTTATATGAGACAAGGAAATATGCCAATGTGAAATAAAGGTTGTGAAGCCAAAATGCATAAAGAAATACAGAAAGAAGATACATCAAGTAGACAGAACAATAAAACCAAGTAGCAAACAAAATTCATGACAACTGAATAAAAAATGTATGGGGGAATATAGATGTCAAAGCAAAAAGAATAAAGAACAGGCTCTGCAGTTTAAGCCATTCTGAATGTAGCCTTATTTTTATATACATATTTGTAGAATTTAATTCAGAAAAGACATGTTTTCAAATTCACATATTACAATAAATTATGGCATTCTTCAAACATGATAAAAACAAGCCATAAAAATCTAGTTAAAACATAATGCTAGGCAATATAACCATCTACTATAAATGATATCACAATACAGTAATGCTGTCAATTCATTTTGCTAATCCAAACCCAAACAACCTATATAATGGACCAATAGATCCACTGTTTATCTGTCAAACCACTCAACAATCCCAGTATTGCTGGATTGCCATTTTTAGCATGACGTATCTGTAATGTTTCAAATTTCTATGGATATGCATGTTGTTGACTTTTTATAGATAATTGTCAATCTCTAGCTTTTCAAAATGGGTAATAAAAGAAAAGCTTAAGATAACATATTTATGACTAAGGCTGATAAACATAAGCAATAAGTCAAGAAAATATGATAAATGTTATATTTTTTGCCCAATCCAGCCTTATTAAAAATGAATTCATTTAACATGCTATTACAAGCCTTAAATTACAAAAATGTGTTGAAAATACCAGAATGAAACTTAACAAATACAACTGCACAATTATTCAGTTAGGAAACAAGACATCAAGTGCTCAACTATAAAATGGATCTCACCTGGCTAGATAGTGGAAATGTAAATTTTTCACTGTGAAAATAATAATAATTATTATTATTATTATTATTATTGTTATTATTAAAAAAACTTGGAAGGGACTTGGAGGTCATCTAGTCCAATCCCCTGCTCAGGCAGGAAACCCTATATCATTTCGGATAAATGGCTGTCCAGTCTCTTCTTAAAAACTTCCAGTGTTGGAGCATTCACAGTTTCTGGAGGCAGGTTGTTCCACTGGTTAATTGTTCTAACTGTCAGGAAGTTTCTCCTTAGTTCTAGGCTGCTTCTCTCCTTGATTAGTTTTCATCCGTTGCTTCTTGTCTTGCCCTCTGGGGCTTTG